CATCATCCAAATTTTGGAACAAAGAACTCGAAGAAGAAGAAAAATTAAAAGATTTCACTTTTTCACCCAGAGTTAAGGTAGTTTTTAAATCATTTTTAGAGCACTTGAATGATTAGTTATTCAATACGATTTCTGGCCGTTTTCAAAATAGTAAAACTTGCCAAGTTTTGGGAATAGTACGCAAAAACAAAAGGAATGCAACTTTTTAAAGCTTTGACTTTCACTAAACTCAGAGTTAAGGCAATCCTCGAACAATTTTTAAAGCACATAAACGTTAAGATATTCAATACGAATTCCGGAATTCATCACCCAAAGGATCAGCCAAGTTTTCAAAATAGAATGCAGTACTAAAGCGACAAAGTCTTGCAAGCTTTGGACTTTAACTTAACGCAGAGTAAAGGCAATTCTAGAGCCGTTTTAAAGCGCCGAAATGATTAAATATTCATTACGATTTCTAGACGTTTAACTGAGTGCAGTGTCAACCCAGTTTACCAAAACGGAATTCAGTACTACAACAAGTGAATGTTATGAAAGCTTTGGGCTTTAACTTAGTCCAGAGTTAAGGCAACTTCAGAACCAATCTTAAAGTACTAGAAAGATGATGTAGGTACTAAATTACCTTTAGAAGTTAAAAGATTGATGCAGTTTTTAAACAAAAAGAAATGTTGTACAAAAAAATGGTGAAAGCTCACCTCTAGTATTGAAAGCTCAATGCTGATAAGATTCGGTTTTGAATGCTTATAGCCTTATTTGGAGTTCCTAAACGTTTTTTCTTTATGCGAAAAGTAAATTTGAAACAAAGCTCATTAAATATTCTTAACAATTTCAAAACCGGCATCTTTTTAAAACATTGTTATTAAATTAACTAAAATGTAGCAATGTAGCGCTCTCACAAAAGCCGAATATGTTTTAATTCTCCATCGAGGCAAAAGCTTCTAGATAAACTTTTTAGTAATTTTTGTATATAAATGAAACAAAGTAAACTTAAAAGATTAAAATTCTATGAATTACTAAAAAAAATTTATTTATCGAAATGTTACTTCGAAAGCAAGCCTTTAGATTACTTAAAAGATTAAAATTTTATTAATTACTAAATATTTTTTATTTGTCGAAATGTTACTTCGAAATTTACGATTTGAGAACCTTTAACTGAAATTAGTTGAAATTGTATGCATAGTTCTTATAATAGAAAATAACTAAACTAACGAAAACTCAAACCTTGTGATCCAAAAACTATTTTCTCTCTTCCATGAAAAGGATAATTAGTTACCTATATAGATATTTAATAGTAGTATATAAAAATTATTTGTTACTTTTAATGCTGAATATGACTAATTAGTGAATTTAATACAGCAATACAACCAAAAATAAATATAATTGATTAAATTGATATGAAAAATATATGTATGAATAATAAAAAATTGCCTACCCTACTAAAGTATTGAGGATTTACATGAATAGTTATAAAAAAATATATATAAATTAAAAAATATGTATACTGAGTAGAGCATGTTGAGAGTTCGATTACTAAACAAAATAATTGCGAATTATTATTGTATAAATTACGATTATAAATATTGCAATATTATAAAATTAATTAGTGCATTTACTTCCAGGAATTAATTGACATAACTACTAAGAATTGATAAATAATTGATAGAGTAAAAGAAACTCTTTACTAAAAACAAAATATGTATACCAAAGACCATACCTAAAAGAGATTCACATAAGAAAGAACTACGACGAAATTTACGATTCGTAAAAAATATAAAACTAACAAAAAAAATATTAAATTGAATATGTAGTAGATAATATAAATAGTAACTCTAATAAGTTATATTATAAAAGTAATGCAGCGCATTGAAATGAATAATAAATGAATAAATAAATACATTAATACTACATAAAGTATAAGAAAATATTGTCTGCTGTTTCATTTGGAAAAATCTGAGGAAGTGTAAGTAGGATAAGGATAAAGCTTTCGTTTTTCTTGGCTGTAAGCGGTATTCTAAGCTTTAAAGACGATGCCACCGATGTAGATATATAATTGGGGTTTGTATGCTACCAAAACGAATAGTGCCTGAAATTATGCAGCATAAAAAAGACATGTAAGAAATTCATATGAACTTCTCAAATGCCATAAGCCATGAAAGTAATAAGTTGCTGTCATATGATATGAAGGTGCTAATGAAATTCACAAATGATCCTTTAATTCACATGAGGGACGCAACTAGTAATTACAAGGGGTCTTTTGCGGACCGAGCAACCTGGCCTACAGAAAAGCCTTACACCAAACCAGCAGATGAAGCTTGCGACGACTAACGGCTTCAAATTTGAAGATGGGAAAACTCAGAAGTTCGATACCAGTAAGAAGCTACCCACCATTTTCCAAGCAGAGGATCATGCGATAGAGATCTGCAGAAGAGACACAGCTGCTCAAAACATCTGCATTTTGTCGGACAGTCAGGCTGCCTTACTAGCGCTGAAGTCCCACACAATATCATAAAAACTAGGGAACGTCTGCCTCAGCACACCCTTAATGCTCTTGGAATCAAGAGGACAGTATACTGGGCTGGGTGCGGGAGCATGAGGGCCACGATGATAAATACGGAGCTACCATAATATTCCGTGGCTCGAAGCTCTTTTGTGGGCTCACCAAAGCACACTCAAGGGAGATCGTAAACAAGTGGGTGGACGAAAAATTCCATAGGCAATGAAGTGAATGTCCATGGCATCTGTCTATCACAAAAATCATCAAAAAAAAACTCATAAATCTAGGCAGGGAGGACCTTCGGACTCTCACTGGGTACTTCACGGGACATTGTTTCCTGCTGTTATCGCCTCAGGAAAATGAACCTTTCATACACGAGCGTCTGTCGATTGTGTGAGATGGGCGAAGAAATACCAAAAACTATTTTTAAATTCAGTATGATACGATTCCTAGCAATTATGAAAAAATTTACGGGCTACTAAACTGCGTACTCCAAATTAAAGAGTTGAAAAGTTGCATCTAGATGCTCTAGGAATATTTCTGCATCAAAAAGAATCTAAAAAAAAAAAAATGTCGCTTACGTTATTTGGGCGGTTAGGGCTCGATATATTGTAAAAATTTCTCTGTGCCAATGCTTTTTACCGGCAGTGTATATAAATTTTTCGTTTCTCTTGAGAGCTGGTAACAGCCCAAAAAAGAAAAGATTAGGAAGCGAAAGCTTTTTCTCTATAACTGCCCTGCACTATGTAGGAGCAGGTTGCGTCGTCTTGGTGCACCATTTTGTAAGCGATTTATTTAAAGTGGTTACACAAATCTAAGATGCCTAATGAGATTTGTCAGGGGCTTTAAAAGGTTCAGCAAACGTTTAAAAAATTATATGGGACATTCTTTGCCGAGCGAGCCACCTCATCTCTTCATTTTTGGTTCGATTTAAACAATTCGAAACCGCTTAGAAAAATTAGTTTAAGGGGTCTATTTTTAAATTCCATTGGCCGTTTTTAAGAACTCAAGATGGAGGTTTAAATATGGCGCCCTAACTAACTGTAAATAAAATTTTGCTTTACAACATTTGTGCCTCTGGAGAACCAAACACTAAAAAAGAAAAACTAGTAGCGGAGTTTTATGTATTTTTTTTTTTGGCTTCTAATTACGAAACTGGGACCTGATTTTTAAAATTCAAAATGGCGGATCGCTATTGGATTTATCACTCAACACGGAAAGATGTAATCGAACGTACGTACATGGCGTATGGGTAAAATTATCATCTCGTCCGAGCAACTCATACGCCATGTACAACATGTAGATCCAATATGCATCCACCATTTTGAATTTATAGAATTTAATTTCAGATTCATAATCAGAAACCATAAAAGCATAAAAAGCCAACAGTTTTTTTTTAGTGTTGGGTTCTCCAGAGGCACATGTAATAAACAGTTAGTTTGGAGGCCATATTTAAACCGCCATCTTGAATTTATTAAAACGTTCAACGGCAATTGAAAACATACCCCTTAATCTAAAAGGTTTCGATTTGTTTGCAACAAACGAAATTGTCGAGCATATCTTATATGGAAGAAAATGCATAACACCGCCAGCTAAAATTATTAAAAAAAAAATCAACGTGATTTTCGAGCGTCTTGAAATTTACGCTTTGACCCACTAAAATTTAAGGGGCTAGAAGACTGCATATCCAAAATTTTTCTAAATATTCTGAATAAAAGGTTTAAAATTTTCGGATGCATATGTTAAAGTTTGTTGAATTTTCATAATTTTTTACGAATTTTGAAATGTGGATTTATATGGCGCTGGTTAGATAAACTGCTAGACTTTTATAAAAAAACTATAAACATTTAATAAACAAAAGAAAAATAGTCAAAATATCACTTGACTCAATCAGCTGACCACAAAGATATATGTAATTTAAAAAAAGTAAAAAAAGGTTGTATGCCTAATGTACAAATTGTTTTAACTAAAAATTCTTTATTGCATTTTAAATTTACAGTTAAAAATTTTTATTTAGATATCATTTCACCTAAAATAAGCTTTTAAAAAGGAATGAATTTCACGAAAACAATTTTATATATTCCTTTACATATTTTAAATTTTTTTTATTTTTTACTTAATAAACATTTTTTACGCCTACATACATTTTTTATTTTTTTTGAAATTAAAAACAAAAATACGTATCACCTAATAGTAATTTTTTCACCACCCACAAAGCTCACTTTCCAATCCCCTCATCGCTGGTAGATACTACGTACGGTTATGCCACTAGGTGCCGCTTGCAGCGCACTTACAAATAAAGCAGATAAGCTTTCCTCGCATACCAAGTCAACGACATCAGCACTCATCGTGCACTCCAGCGGAAAGCTTCTTCCAGACATCAATGTCTGCGCCGTTGTTGCTGTACCTGATGCAGTATCGCTGTTTTGTTTATCAACTGAATGACTTAGCTTTTTAATTCAGTTTATAAGCGAGTATTTAGCCGCAATGGTGTGAGCGCGTATAGCAGCAGATAGCTATGTGTCGTACAAAGAAAAGCAAAAACAAAATAAAACGATAAGCTTTTGAACATCGTATACATAATAAACAGTATTGTGGGCTGCAGTGCAACATTGATTTTTGTAATATTCCTGTAATTGTGATAAACCAACAGTTTGGAAAATAAATACCTATATATTACACAAATGATTGAGTACTTAAATGACGATTGCCTCAGCGAGATATTCCGATATCTTAGCATCAAAGAGCAGCTGATTGTGACAGCTGTCAACGAGCGCTTTTGCAGCATAATAATTGAGCGCTTTTGGCGCATTAAATTCAACAAATTCACCACTAAAGGTGATGCGAGTTGTGATGAGCTTAATTTAACGGAATTTCAAATATTCTACCGCCTAATAGCGCCACACATAAAAGAACTAACCGTACATAGCACAGCAAATGTGGCATTCACCAGCTACCTGGGACGCTACACTAAACGTCCAGATCTTGCCTTCTACTTCCATTTCGAGTATCCAGAATTACGTGTACTACGCTGTTATGATCAACAATTCCACGCTGGCTATCTAACCAGTTTGATACGTAAATGTCCGCAGCTGGAGGTGCTCAAGCTGATCAGTTCGTATGTGACGGGCGAACACTTGGCCGATTTCCAGCAACTACGTGAACTCTATGTGACCAGCAATAAATTGGAACCGAAATATTTTCATGCAATTTTCCATCATAAAAAACTGACACGTATACAGTTAACTGGCGAGTGTACCGTTAAACGTGACATGGATGCTGTGCTTAAGTCGATTTTACCAAGAATATCGGAATTGCGTTACTACGATGAGGAAGAGCATTTAACGACGCAACAGTTCTTTGCGGAATCGACGCCATTATTTCGAAATTTGGAAAAATTATATTGCCAACGTCTGTTGAGCTTCGTCTACTCGCTACAAACGCTGCGGGAGTTACATTTCGAATGTCATGTACAGTTGGATGATTTATTTGCTCTAGTCCATAACAATATACACCTGGAACAACTATATCTGGGGCTGAATTTTAGTGCGCTATCGAAGTCACGCGAATGGGTATGCGAACTATCCGATTTGGTGAGGAAACAAGAGCAACAGCGCAAGCGAGAGCTCACCATACACTTGGAAAGGGCGCAAAAAGCGATACAGCAATTGCAGCAGGTGGTGGAGGTGAGATTGATAAATACATACCATATGTATGTATGTGCATTAGGGTGGTCCAAAATAAAGGAAATTCGGGATCTGAACGCTCTCACCCCCTAGGATTGTTCTATGTCGAAAAAATATACCCTTATTTTTTTCTTTGAATTAAAAAATATTTAAAGGTCGCTCAAAGCACTCAAAGTTTTCCGTGTATTTTATATGGGAAAAAACAATTTTTCGTAGAAATTGCATGGAATTCGTGAAAATGAATATTTTTCGATCGGAACACCCTGGTTCTGTTCAGGAGACTTCTAGTAATAATACCCATTTGTTTATTTAACCATTTTTAACACTTAACGATTTTTTATTGGTGTCCCCATAGCATTTTTTGGGGTTTTTGGGGATTTTTGGTGGACTTATAAATTATAGTTACTATAAAAAAATGGTTAAATAAACAACTGAGTATTATTATAGGGAATCGCCTGCAGAGAAGCAGAGTTTTCTAATCGAAAAGTATTGTTTTTTAAGAATTCTATACCATTTCTACGAAAAGTTGTTTTCTCCCCATATAAAATACATGGAAAACTTTGAGCGCTTTGAGTGACCTCTAAATATTTCTTGATTTTAAAAATTAAAATAAGGGGTATATTTATTTCGGTATAGAACAATCCTAGGGGGTGAGAGCATAAGAATTCCGACTTCACTTTTTCTCATGTATTTTTGGACCACCCTAAGTACATGCGTATGTGCATACAGTATGAGGCTAAAGTCTAACTACACCTAGAGGTTACCTTATTTTTGAAATTTTGCAGTTTTTAAGGTACGCACTGTACTGCTTGAGAGTTAAAGGTAGACATAAACTTTTTGCTTATTTTAACTGGTTATAAATTTTTTTTTAACTGAACATAAGTTTTGGTTAAATGCAAAACTGGACATAAATTTTTGGCGTTTAAAAACAGGACACACGTTTTTCGTTTTTAACTGGCCATCAATTTTTGAAAGCGACTTCAATTGTTGGTAATTTGAAAACCAGACAAAAATGTTTGGCGTTTAAAAACTGGACATAAATTTTTGCTGATTAGAAAAACTAGACATCAATTTTTGATCAAACTCTGGGCAAACATTTTTGGCTTTTAAAAACTGCACAGTAATTTTCGGTAATTTAGAAATCGGACATAAATTTTCATCCTTAGAAAGCTGAGCTTAAGTTATAATTTTGACAAAGATAAAGGGGACATATTTTTTGTGAATACTGGACATACATTTTTGGCAACTTTAAAACTGCACATAAATTTTTGGCGTTTAAAAACTGGACATACGCTTTTCTTTTTTTAATTGGACATACGTTTTTGAAAACGGGAAATAAATTTTTGTTGAATGGAAAACTGGACATAGATTTTTGGAGTTTAAAAATCGGACATAAATTTTTGGTGATTCGTTAAACAAGACATCACTTCCGGTCAAATTCTGGGCATACATTTTTGGCTTTCATAAACTGGGCATTAATTTTGGGTTATATAAAAACCGTACAAATTTTCTCCTTAAAAAGCTGAGCTAGTGCATTTCCACCAAACCATAACTGCAGTTTATACCCATTGGAAAAAAGGGATTATAACTCGAAGGGGGAAATTCCTCCTATTAAGTACAAGCGAACGAAAGGAAAAAAGCAAAACATAAGAAATAAAACTTATTGATCATTCCATGTTAAAACTCTTGGAACTTAACTGATCCCTTAACTGCAGTTAAGCCTTTGGTGGAAATATGCCATAAATAATACTTTTGGCAAAAAAGGTGAGCATATTTTTTAAATTTTTGTTAGCTGCAAACCTGGAAATCAACTTTTGGCCATATGTACGTGTTTACTCTTTTTAAAAGGGCATACATTTTTGGCGTTTAAAAAGTGGACATAAATTTTTGGTGATTAAAAAAACTAGACATCAATTTTTGGGTGAAAATCTGCTTTATGCTTTTATTATCAATTAAGCAAACCACACCGAACCCTACAAGAATTGTGTGATGAAAACTAACACATTCTCATTTATCTTACTAACACATATCCAAATTTTGCGTTGGTTAGAAAGAGACCATAAAATAAGGCCATAAGTTGGAGGAAGACGGAAGAATTTGTACACAAATGTTTACATCAGATTTTTCACACTGCCCTTTAGAATTTGATAGAAACTTGTAGGTAGCCAGTGACAGAAATCTCTATCAGTCTTGCCACTCAAATGATTTGTCAAATGATAGTCACTGTTCTTGCAGGGAAGCTTTATAAAGAATCCCTAAAAAGAGCGTAATCAAAGCTTTTGGTATCACTGCTAAGGGGGCACTCTGTAATATTGTCGCATGCCTTCAGAATAGATATTTTTAAACCCAGGAGGAAACCTTGAAGCACATAATCTGTCAGTGCGCAGAATTCACAAGCTTAACGATTGGCAATCGCTAAAGAGTCTGAAATGCTATTACAGGAACACCAATTTTGTCAAACATTGGCCCAGACTCCAAGGACGTATTCGGTCTGTGGTTGGTTTACTAGCCTAGGCTGGATCATTTGAAAACTATAAAAGGTTCCATGTCTATATAGACGCGGAGTATTTGGATTTGTTTTCCTTTGGCTGGATAATCCAAATTTTTTAGATTGGTGACTTCGGTTATTAATTAAAAACATTTATGATTAGAGCTTTTCTTCGGATTCTGAAAATTATCTCTTTTTAAAACGTTTTCAAATTTCCCTTTTCTTATTTACTAATCTCTAACCGCCAAAAAGACGTAAACGATATTTCGCATCTGTTTGAGGCCACCTTTATTTTTGATGCAGAAATACTTTTCTCGCACCTAGATGCATTTCTGCATTAAAAAAAATTTGCATTACGTCTGTTTGGTCCGGCTAGCTTATTTTGATTGTCAGGTTCCCTTTTCTAATCTTTTTAACCAACTTCCAAAAAAGGATGAGGTTATCAGTTCGTCGGAATATTTTTTTTTTTTTTTTTTTTTTTTT